CCTGGTGGAGGAAGCCCGGATCCCAATGATGATACCACCGGATTGGGGGCAGAGGGTGGAGGTGGTGCATCGGCAAACAGCTGATGAGGGCGGTCAGCCTGAGAGAGTGGGTTCTGGGCTGCCAGAAGACGTTCAGCAGCTGAGCCATGGCGCTCACCCTTAGAGTCCTTCTTGAAGGCATAAGACACAGTGATAGGGCGATTACAGAGATACTGCCCATTCATGGCCTCAATGGCTGCATCCGAAGCATCAAACGAAGCAAAATTAATAAAAGCATAACCTTTGGAGTTGCCTGTATCAGGGTCCCTCATAATCTTCGGTGTTTGTAAAATGACCCCAAAGGCGCTGAAAGTATCATAAAGCAGCTTCTCATCAATCTCTGGATCCAGATTCCCAATGAAAATGTTGGCCCCTACTCCAGGTTTTTGTTATGTGCTGATGCTTTGTTCACCCTTATTGGCTTTCCATAGAGTTTGATCATGTTCATAATCTTAATGGCATAGTCAGCATCTTCTTCACTCAAGAATTCAACAAAGCCATAGCCTTGGTGCTGGCCAGTAACTCTGTCCTTTGGCATATGGGTGTTGACTACCGGCCCGGCCTGGAGAAAGAGTTCCCACAGCAGTGGTTCACTAACCTTCTCGTCAAGGCCCTCCACGTACACAGTAGCATCCTGATTCCGTTCAGATATCGGCCCCGCAGCCATGGCGAAGGAGCTCCCGCCGTCGCCAACCGGTAGCCCCGCCTGCTGACCTCAATTACTACCAGAAATTATTTTTTTTAAAAAAAGAGAAAAGAACCTCTCTGTATCACATTATAGTTAAAATGGCAAGAATGCTAAGCAAGGAAAGAATATCAAAAGCAGTAAAGGAGGAACACCTAGTCATTCATAGAGGGAAACCCATCAGAGTAGCTGAAGATTCTCTGTAGAAACACTAAAGGCCAGGAGAACATTGTGAGCCCTGAAAGACATTACTGCTAACCCAGAATATTATACTCAGCAAATCTATCTTCAGGAGCTGGTGAGATGGCACAGTGGTCTAAAGCACCTACTCAGAACAAGCTTAGCTAAGCACAGGGACCACGGTTCAATTCCCCAGCACCACATGCCAGCCAGCCCGCCCCCTGGTGGGCTGAGCTGGTCACACAGACACATACACAAATAAATAAATTTAAAAAAAAAATCTATCTTCAAAATGGAAGAAGAGGGCCAGGGAGATGGCTCAGTAGAATAAGCGCTTCCCTGACAAGTGCAAGGGTCTGAGTTCAATCCCTGGTTCAGTCAAAATTGAAGAAGAAATAAAGACCTTCCAAATAAGCATAAATTAAAGAAATTTATGATCACTATGGCAATATTATATAAAATACCTAAAATGACCCTGTACACAGAAGAGAAACAAATTAATGAAATTTTTTTTAATTAGAAAAGCAATTTTTAAAAAAAGCATGGTGGCACATGCCTATAATCCCAGCATTCAGGAGGCGAGGCAGAAGGATTGCCATGAGTTCAAGACCAGCATGCACTACATGGAGAGACTTTGTCTCAAGAAAAAGAAGAAGAAAGGACCAGGGAGATAGCTCAGTGGAATAAGTGCTTCCTTGGCAAGCGCAAGGGCCTGAGTTCAATTCCCGTTCCACAAAAAAAAAAAAAAAAAATACTTGCAAACTAAATTCAAAAAACGTGGGCTGGTGAGATGGCTCAGTGGTCTAAAGCACCTACTTGGAACAAGCTTAGCAAACACAGGGACCGCGGTTCAATCCCCCATCACCACATGCCAGCCAGCCCCGCCCCCTGGTGGGCTGAGCTGGCCACACACAGACACACACACACACATAAATAAAAAAAAAATTAAATTAAATAAAAATTAAAAATTTTTTTAAAAAGCCATAAAGATCAGATACTATGATCAAATTGGCTTCATTCTAGGGAAGCAAGGATGGTTCAGTATATGCAGTTCAGTAAATGTAATACACCACATAAACAGAATCAAGACTAAAAACCACGTGATAAAAAAACCACATGATAACTCATTTGGCATTAAATGACCAATTCATCAATACAGTAAAGCCTGTATATGACAAACACAAAGCCAATATCTTTTTTTCCCCTTTATCTTTTTGAGCCAGAGTTTCTCTATGTGATTCAGGCTTGCCTTGAACTTGAGTGATCTTCCTGCCTCAGCCTTCCAAGTGCTGGGATTGCAGATGTGCACCACCACACCCCGCCTGCCAACATCATTTTTTTTTTTTTTTTTGAACAAGGGATTGAACTCATGCCCCTGAACTTGCCAGGCAAGCGTTTATTCTACTGAGCTATTTCCCCAGCCCCCCAACATCATTTTGAAAGAGAAAAAACTGAAAGCATTCTCTCTCAAAGCAAGAAAAAAAAAAAAAAGAATGAAGCAAGGATGCCCACTCTTACCACCATTATTCCGTATAGTTCTTAAAATTTTAGTTAGAACAGTTATGCAAGAGAAAAAATAAAAGGGGTACAAATAAGAAAGGAAGAAGTCAAATTATCCTTCTTTGCAGATGATATGATCCTATATTTAGAAACCCTACAGAATCCACCAAAGGACTTTTAAAGTGTATAAATAAATTCATCGAAGTAACAGGATATAAAATCAACATCAAATAATTAATGTATTTTCTTTTTTTTTTTACATTTACTTATTGTGTGTGTGTGTGTGTGTGTGTGTGTGTGTGTATGTGGCTAGCTCAGCCCACCTGGGGGTGGGGCTGGATGGCATGTGGTGCTGGGGGATCAAACCGTGGTCCCTGTGCTTTGCCAAGCTTGTTCTAAGTAGGTGCTTTAGACCACTGAGCCATCTCTCCAGCCCCAATTAATGTATTTTCTATAAACTGGTAATAGACTAAGAAAAAAATCAGAAAAACAGTTCAATTCTCAATAGCTTAAGAAAAAGAAACCTAGTGATAAATCTAACCAAAGATGTTAGGGGGCTGGGGAGATGGCTCAGTGGGGCTGGGGAGATGCCTCAGTGGAATAAGTGCTTCCCTGGCAAGTGCAAGGGCCTAAGTTCAATCCCCCATTCTGGGGGGGGGGGTTGTTTTTAAAAAAAAAAGAGGTTAGACTTCTGTGAAAATTTCAACACTGATGAAAACTTCGAAGAAGACACTAAAAAACAGACCTTCCAGGGGGCCAGGAGATAGCTCAGCAGTGTAAAGCACTTGCTTAGGCAAGCTTAGGCAAAGCGCAGGGACTACAGTTCCATCCCCAGCACCACATGCTGCACCAACCCCTCCCAGGCTGAGCCAGCCACAAAAAAAAA